AATCCGCGGCGGAGCCCGGGTGCGCTAGTGCCTCCGACCCGCGCAGAAAGGTCCCAGCTCCTGGAACGTCGCGGGGAACTGGAAAGAAGAGAGAGGGCTGGAGTGATTGCGAAGCAAGTGAGCGGCGCGCCGTGCGTAGGGAGAGCGTGGTCTCAGCCAGAGCCAAGGTCAGGGAAGGGAGTCTGCCTTTATACTGAGCAGTTTAAAAGCAACGACATAAATCCCTTTTTCTGTTTTCAGTTTTCTCCCTCCCGGAGAGGTAAAAGAGAGGAGATCGGTGCTTCCGCGGCCACCCCGAGCACGTGTGGGTCAGAATGCCCCGGAGGGTGGCAAGCTAGAAGGATTCCGTCCTGAGGAGCCTGGGCCCCCGAGCGAGAGGGGATAGCGCTGGTGGCGACATCTAAAACCACTGCCGAAACCCGGGATCGAACCAGGGACCTTTAGATCTTCAGTCTAACGCTCTCCCAACTGAGCTATTTCGGCAGCTCGTGAAAAGTGTTTTCTGTATTTCCATAATGAAATAGTATTTGTTTGGTTGTAACAAGAGGTCAGGATGAGTTCAGCTGGAGGTAAGCATTTAGCAAGTATTACAGGGGCGATAAAGCCAAGCCCCTGTCTATAAACCAGAAATGACAAATAATTTTACTTTTCTCAGTTGTTTGGATTCAAGAAATGTATGTATGGAATGTATGGAAATGTATGGAACTGAACAGGAAGGTCGTTTGTAAAAGCCTTCAAATGTCAAAGGCAAAAGACTTTGCAATCTTACCTTTAGAGGAGGTGTGCTGTGCATGGAGTCGCTGTATCTGTATGTTAAAAGCACTGTTCTGCTAAACCTCAGTCTTTGAAATAGACCTCAATTTTCGTAACCCCACCTTGGCGTTTTGAAACTTTCAAATAGACACTGTCAATAAGTGGAATTGGCTGAGATCTCTCCCAAACTCTGAGAAGCAAGCTCTGCTTTAATAATATCCCCTAAATAGGACCTCCTCCTCCTATTTCATTATTTTGCATCTCCTGCATTCACATGTATACAATTGAACTAGCCCTAGCCCTAATTTAATCAGAATCTCTGCAGATGGGGCTCAGGATTGTGTATTTTGTAAATTGACTGGGTGAATTTAATGTGCAGCCACTCTCAGCATCCCATTCCTGAGTCTCACAAAAATGTAGCTATTACCAAGAGACCCATGTTTTAAATTGCTTACTCAACCTCTTCATGGGAATGGCCAGCTCAGAATGTCCAAAAATGAACCTATCTTTCCCTCTAAACTTACTACCACCTTCCATCTAAGTTTCCCAAGGCAGAAAAACACAATTTCCTCCCACCATCCTTCTGCTCTCCACCTGTAATCAGACCCAAGTGCTGTTCATTCGAGTTCAGTATTTCTGGAATCCCTCCACTTCTCTTCATTCTTAAATCTTCTCCAACCTCTTCATTGATCTTCCTACCTGTATATCCACACTGGAACCCATCACCCTACTTAAAAATCCTTCATGGGCTCCCTAGTTGAGAGCAAAAACCAAGACTTCTATCTTTTTTTTTTTTTAATCAAAAAAGGAAACATCAAATTTAATTTAAAGGAAAAAAGTCAGAAATTGTCTGAGAAAACAACAGAACAAATCAATTCCTGAAAAAAAGAGTTCTTCATCTTGGTGATCACATTTATTGAAAGGGTTAGAAAAAAATTAAAATGTCCTTTAGCTTAAGAATTTTTGAGTTATCTGCAATGCCAGGGTGGCTCAGTCAGTTAAGTGTCTGCCTTCAGCTTCGGTCATGATCCCAGGGTCCAGGGACTGAGTTGGGGTCATGATCCCAGGATCCAGGGATTAAGTCCTGCATTGGGCTCCTTGCTCAGGGGGGAGCCTGCTTCTCCCTCTGCCCACCGCTCCCCCCGTTTGTGCTCTCTCTCTCTCTGACAAATGAATGAATAAAATCTTTAAAAAAAAAAGGGGGGGGAATTTTTGAGTTACCTGCAAATCAACTCATTTCAGGAGTGGAAGCATCCGTGGTCATTTCTTAATATCAAAATTTACGCAGGTTTCTCTTTTGAATGTCTTCTACATTTAAAGAGGCAATCATACAAAATCTCCTATATTCCCTACACGATAAATTCTTTGTTTTAGTCAAGTCTCAATGGAGGGGCAACTAGTACAACACTATCTCCCCGGACAAAAAGTATCAGAATATTCCGTTTTGCTGATTTATATATCTCTTCATATGTTTCATCAATTTCTATACTAGTCAATACTAGTCACAGTTTCTTCCACATCTCCCAATATCATATTTAAATGCTGATGGTAAGCATGCAATCTGCCTCGAAGCTCTCTGTCATTTCTCATTTTCACTTAAATTCGCTCATCCAGGCTGAGCCTGATGAGATCCAGGGGCTCTTCTATGGTGTTGGTAGTTTGCTGCTGGTCCTCGTCATCCACCATGTTTCAAAACCCAAGACTTCTATCTTTATATAGTATATAGACTTCCATAACTTGGGTCCTTGCTCTCTCCAGCACGGTATCAGTGCTCTCTCCTTGACTCTGAATTCTAGCAATTCATGCAGCCATCCAAACTCAGGATGCTTTCCTAGAATTTGCTCTTCATCTTTGTCCATGCTGCTTTCTATACTCTGCCCTTCCTTAACCCCTATTAAGCCTGCAACTCTCAACTCAGATACGTTCTCCTAGTTCTAGAAGCCTTCTCTGATGTGCCTCTTTCCTGTCCCTCCCCACTCCCCATAGGCTGGTGGCCCCCTCCAGTGCTTTCACGCCATTTATCAAACCAGACTGTAATTGCCTGTTTATCAGAGCTCTTTCTTGTCATTTGTATCCCTAATGTATGTTACATAACAGACTGGAGTCAATGTTGAAAGAGAGAAAGGAGAGAGAGGCAGAGGGAAGAAAACAGAGAGAGAGGGAAAGCCGTATCTCAGGGCCAACTGGTTCTTTACTAACTTTTAAAATCACCTTTTTAAACTCAAATGTGACCTCTGCCAGGCTTTTTACAGAAGATTCGAGCTCTTTAGTTCTTGCCTTTAAAGATGCCTCCTGAGGCCACCCTGCCTCCTTCCCCTGAGGAATCCGTGTGAACTGAAAAGCTTGTAGGGAGGAAGGCCTGAGGAAAATAATACTACACATTATTGTCTGAGCTTGGAAGGAAAAGCCATGAGAGACTTGGAATGCTTCCCACAAGGCAGGGCAGATCACGGGGCAAAAGCTTTATAACTTTTAGAAGTAAGCTCTACATTTTGACGATAATCTTAGAGTTTCACAAGGTATACACTTTATAGTGAATAACTTCCAAAGATTTCTACATCTCCTTTTAGGGTTGGTTTTTACTTATCTTGCCGAAAGTAGAGTAGGCCCTGAAATTTAAAGGTTTACCAATTTTTGGGGACTTCAGGGGTCCCTGACAAGGGTTATAAGTTATTATTTTGCTGCGTTATCATTTTGAATCATGAGTGTGGTAGGCCCTTGGGAATCCACATCACGACCCATCAGGTCATAGTAGTCCATGAAAGGACTAAAGAAGGGATTGTTAAAATGTTTCAGGTAGGGGTGCCTGGGTGGCTCAGTCATTAAGCGTCTGCCTTCGGCTCAGGTCATGATCCCAGGGTCCTGGGATCAAGCCCCGCATCGGGCTCCCTGCTCCGCGGGAAGCCTGCTTCTCCCTCTCCCGCTCCCCCTGCTTGTGTTCCCTCTCTCGCTGTGTCTCTCTCTGTCAAATAAATAAATAAAATAAATAAAATGTTTCAGGTACATTTGACTGCCCCTCTTGGAGGAAGTTTTATGGCACAGTGCTATTCAAGATGGCCGGATGTAGCTCTTGCAAATAGCAGGGGTCTACTGCAATGATTTTTAGCTTGCCAGAAAAAAAAAAAACCTTACGATCCTGAAACTTAACCATCAAGCCCAGCAATGTGAATCAGGCAAATGACTTGAACAGATGGGTGGCCTTCCTAAGAGCCAGGCTAGAAAAACAATCTCTGGCAACATAGCTAATTTTGTGGACATGAGAGCCCTGAGAAATCAAGGAGCCTGGGGGCTGAACTTGAAGGATGCCCCTTCCTTCAAGGACCTCCAAAGTGACGCTATCCACATCACTAAGCCTCTGGAAACAGAAATGTGCGTTACAGCCTGATGTAACCTAATCCAGGAGGAAATGACTTCACTGTCAGCTGCCTTCCAACCCAGCTTCTCCCAGGACACAAGGTTGTAGAGGTCACAGACTCGGGGGTCAAACAAACCCAGCTTTGAGTTCCAACACCGTGACTAACCGATCAGCTATGTAACCTTAGTGAATTTATTTAAATTAGGGTTTTCTCCCCCCAGTGCCTTTCTTTGTATTTCACATGATGACTCTAACATTTACCTCTTAAAATTGTTCAAGTGTAAGCTGGACAATGTTCAGAATTCCTAACTCAGCAAGCTGGACGCAAAGGCAGACGCTCAGCAGCAGGGCAGGACCTGTGTGCAGCCTCTCTGGGCCCCTTTGATTCCTTTGCCCACCCCCCCCATCCCCCCGGAACTTTATAGTGAAACCCTGAACAAGCATCTTCACGGTCTTCTCTCCAAGGCGTTCAAATCAATACTCAATTGCTCATGTTTCAAAGTATAGAATTTGAATCCCTACAACAACTAAGAATCTGAGAACCTAAATGGGCAAGAGAAATTGAATTCAAGAAAACTTTTATTTTTTGAGGTGAAACAGGCCCAACATCAAAAACACACTAGAAATGATTTCCCTCTACCAAGGGGGGAGACACTGATGATTACATTCCATTAAAGCGGAAGGAGCTGTTAAAACTCCTCTGCTGTCCACAGGCCCTTGAGAATGTTGTCGAACAGTTGAAACATCTGGAAACCCATGCCCCGTTTTTCTTTCAATTTCTCACAAGGATCAGCTGCTGATTCCCAAGAACAAAGCAGCACCCGGCCAGTTCTCCAGCCCCTCCCACCACCACTTCTTATCTATAGGAGTCAAGTGAATCAGACAAACGATATGACTTTTTAAAAATTATTTAATTTAGTAGTTTTCTTGGAAAAAAAACAATAAGGCAAAAAAAACGAAAATATATATAGTTTTGTTTTGATGTGACTTCATTTCACCTGAAGGACTCAAAGCTTCTCCATTAGCAGGAATCGGACTGGGGATCAGGCTGGGAAATGTAGTGCAGATGGTGGAGGAAGAAAGGTGGGGGATAAAGCAGAGACGTTCAGTTTGGTTGAGGAATTCCTGCTCTGGCTAAAGCCCCCTGATTAGGTCACAGCCTTGGCGGGCCTCCTTGAAAGAAGCCCCAGCACAATCCCGCGCTTAGGTTGGGAATCGGAGTCTTAGGAGGAAACTCCCCAGCGGTTGCCTGTATCTCAAGTGCATCACAGCTAGAGAGGGAGGAATGGCGAGGAAGGAACAGAAGTACTAATTTACCCAGTATAAATCCAATTTCCATGCAGGGATGGCTTCCTCTGGAATGATATTTCCCCCAGGACCCACACTGGCTGAGGCTCAGCAGTTAAGGAACAGAAACGAAAAACACTAACAAAAAGCATACAAGGAAGGCACCTCAGTTTGTGATCCTCAACCAAGGGTGGGCTGCACAGGGGCAGATTTCTGAACAAGACAACTAAAACAAATACAGAACACAAAATGAAGGAAGCCAGGCCCGACAGGAGCAGTTCTACCCACCCCACTTGATGGCACTTTCAGCCCCACATCCTAGGAAGAAGTGTCTTTTGGGAATCAGCTGTGTGTGCTGGGATTTGGCCAGAGGCAGAATTAAACTGGAAACTACTGTCCTGACTCTCTACCCACGCTCTTCCTAACAAAAGAAGGAAAAAAGGCAGGAAAGAGTTAGGATTTCATTTTCAAGACTCAGGTAATTAGGAGAGCAGAATTTAGACAGCAGTGGGCACTCCATGATACAGAGGGACCGAGTCCCTGTTCGGTAACTGCCGGAGGTGATCCTGCTCAGGTTCTGAATCTGTCTGCCCCTAAAAGATGGAAAACAGAGGAGGCTCCAGTCCACATCAGTATCCAAGAGAGAGTACCAGGGGGACAAAGGATATCAAAAGACAAGATTCTTAATGGGAAGAAGGAAAATCAAACAAAAAAATTAGATTTTCTCTACATATATATAATATACAGATATTTAACACATTATTTGAGAGGTGGCTCCAGTCCATGGGGCTTGAGAGATGGTGAAAACTTTTGTTTCAAATTAACTCCTTCTCTCAAATTCTGAAGTATATCAGAATGGGACAGGTAATGCTTTGCTCCACACTGGGGCACAGACCCAAACTGGTATTGTGCTGAGAGAGAGAGAGAGAGAGAGAGAAAGGGGGAGGAGGGAGGGAGGAGCAAGAAGGGCAATGAAGAATGGGGGTGAGGAGGAACTGGGAAAGCAAAGTGGCTAGCAGTCTTTTCCATCCTGCCTTGTGCTCTCAGAAGTTCCCCCATCTGAAGAAGTCCATAAAACTCCCTTGTGAGGATAACACAACCCTCCTACCAACCACCAAAGTGGCCTCCGGTTGCTGTCAAACATGGAGGACAGCAGAAGGGTATTTTACACAAGTGAGGATAGAAATTTCCAAGAAATGTCAGTCTGAGTATTCCAATCTTACAGAACAAGCCCCCTTGCAATTGTTCCGACGCTGTAGTTATCTCGGGATGGACGCCCCATGAGACTGACCCCGTGTGTGACCCCATTTCGTGACACCATGCCTAAGCTCCCCTGCGGTCATTCACGATGCCTCCATTGGTTAAGTCTGATGTGCTCCTCGTTCAAGGAGCTTCTAAATTCAGCTCTCACTCTGAACAGCACCAAAATGCCCCTGAATCATCACCTCACACAGACCTTGGCTGAGCAGGATACTACAGGGGAGGGTGAACGACATCATCTTAAAGTGGGGGCAGAGGGAAAAGGACGAGCCAAGACCACCGGACTCTGCAGAAGGGGAGCAGCACTACGTTCCGGCCACTAAACCTCTCCCTCCCAAACACAGGGATCTAGTGAGTCGATTTCAGTTTCAATCAGCTAAGGCAACCAGCCAATCACCACCACTGGTGTCTGCTTCTGGTGATTGATTTGGACAAAATGATTGGTTAAGACAGACAAACTGGAGGAAAGCGCTCGGTCAGAGTCCCAAACGCCCGCTTTCCCGCACATCTTCTGTCCTCTTCTCCTTTGGATCCTCCTGCTTTTTGTTGCTGCCATTTCAGAAAATGTCTGGGCATGAGGTCCAGTCCTGTTTTTCTTTACACTCCCAGTACCCTCCCCTATAAATATGGGTTAGCTCCTTGGTAACAGGGTCCTTCTTCCGCTCAAACCACAGCGCCTTATAAGGATCATAGGGAGTGCCTAAAAGGGAAAGCAGGTAAAGAAAAACAGAATGAGAGCCAGAAACACACCAAGTGATTCTCCACCCATCGAGAGAGTGGAAGACAGGTTCGTTACCATCCTCTGTGGCTTTCATAGCTTCTGCTTCTCTCTTCTTTCTGGAAAGTCTTTGCTTTTCCTCCAGGCGCTGCTTCTCAGCATTGGCTTCATCCCAGCGCCCGTTTTCCATCAGTCTCTGGTCAGGCCGCAATCGGCTGTCTGTGGGGGCGGTGCCGCTTTCCCAGGCGTTGAGCGTCAGAGCAAGCTCGGAGAAGTAGTACATGTTTTCTGCATTCTTCCTACAAGTAAAGGATGAGAAAGACAAAGGGTGATGCCAGAGCCCCCTTGTTAAAAGCACACTGCCAAAAGACGGCCTCCCCAAAGCTGTTCTACAGACAGACAGACTCTAGGACCAGGGCAGGTTCCCCTCATGCAGAGACCCAGACTGGACTGCTCCCCATCCCCTCCCCTGGTGTCACTCGCTCCGCGAGTTTGCTGGGCTTCTGCTGTGCTCAGCGGAGATTAGGAAGAAATTCCTTAGGAAGAATGAAACATTCTACTAAATGGAAATTCCTGATTCTTATTTCCTTTGCTTTCTTTTTAACCTCTTTCTGGGGATAATCTCGGCTCTTACTATAGACTGAACATATGAGATGACAGGGGACAAATGGACTCCATCTTATTTCCGAATTCCAGTACATGACCTCAGGGACCTTTATATTGCCACTGGGTTTCGGGCTAAGTTGTTAACAGGTGGTAGGCATCTTTCTCCTCTAGCTGCTTCTGAATCATTTTGTTCTAAATTATGAATATTTTTTGGCAGATGTGACTTGATTAGTTTCAGTTTTCTTGACAAGGCACATTACAACTCAAATCATACCATGACAGCCTTCTGGTAATCCCTCCAAAGGTCTGAGTTCCCTGGCTTGATCCTCACGTAATTAAGCGGGAAGGAAGGCAGAAATGCCACCAGTACTGCTCCAAGGATGAGGCCAAAGTACTACCTGGACAGCATGCATACTGATACTCACGGTAAAGGGTTCCTTTTCCATAGCAGGACCCTGCTTTCCTCTGCCTCATGGCCTCTCTGCCGAGCATCACCTCCATTCTCCCCAACGACTGGCTGTACTTTGAAACAATCCATTTTCTCATCCCACGTCCCCAGAAGGGCAAAGTGAACTTTTCCTGATGGATCGGTCACTTCCCCTGTCACCTAAAGGATGGAGAGTAGGGCTTTGGAGTACAGCATTCACTGTGGGTTAGCTTACCTGACTAGTCTGGAAACAAAAGTCCTACAGTCAATACTGGTTAAATTTTGCTACAACAAACACCACGGAGCACCCAAATTATTTTGGTATACTTTTTTGAGCTGCTTAAAGTAAATGAGCCATGAGTTGGGGTTTCATCATTTTGTTGTACAGGGATTATGTTGCAATGATATATGCAGGAAAATGATCTGAATGGTACTCAGAATTATGGTACTTTCTTCTCTCTATGACATTCTCTTCTCTCTGGTATTTCCTTCTTTCTTCAGAGACAGCCACAGACAGATTTAAATCCCCAGATCTTCTTCACTCTCCATCAAACTCATGACGCAATTCCGCTGTGGTGGTGACACAGGACTTGCGCTTAGACCTCACAGTGGTCAAACCGCCCATCCTTCTTCCTGAAATCCTACTGGTCCTTCCTCTGTGTTCCCATTTTCAATCTCTCCTTGCTCTTGACTTTCACTTTCTTACTTAATGTCTTTACCAGAAAAGACAATGATTTAGTTTGGTAATGCAATCTAGTCCCCCTTCCTACTGACTTTCTCCTTTACCTCTCCTTTTTTTTTTTTTCAAATCACCACATACATATTTAGGAGATATATATATATACACGTTTAGACTATCTCTTCATCTATCATCTACACCAGCCCCCAAAGAGTAGGATTTCTAAGGCACACACACTAAGGAAAAACATTTAAACTCCAACTTCTCTTACCTTTCTTGCTACATCACGAGAGAAGTAGCTATAAGGAACAAATTTAAGATTGCACTTGTCTCCCGTCTTGTGATTCACAATATCAATTTCACCAGACTATAAAATAAAAAGCATCATGGATTGATTTTATTAAGAACGGAGGACTTGAATATCTGCCAGACCCCATGCCTCATAATTCTTCACTTTTCCATCATGTACTCTCAGACTCCCTTGCTTAAGGGTCTCAGCTGACTCCGAAAAGCTGTGAAATCCCTTTGGAACCTTGGTATTCCAGGTTAGGATCAAGACCAAATGGCCTTCTGGCTTTCTGTCAATCACGTGTCACATGTTAGGTGGCATGATTTGCCTTTCAGCACATATGTTAATATTCACATAATAATTTACCTTTCCAAACCAAACCCCCACTCATACCCTTCATCAACTTTGTGCTTAAATCAAAGTACTCTACTCAGGATTCCAAGGTTACATATGGTGGGCCTTTCTACACTTTATTCATTTTTCCTCCTTTCTATCTTCTAAATCCCAAACCACGTTAAGACTCAGCTTGGGGTGCCTGGGTGGCTCAGTCAGTTAACTGTCCAACTCTTGGTTTCGGCTCAGGTCATGATCTCAGGGTCATGAGATCAAGCCCTGCACTGGGCTCTGTGCTCAGTGTGGAATCTGCTTGAGATTCTCGCTCTCTCGCCTCTCCCTCTGCCCCTCCCCTCGCTTGCCCCTGCCTCTCTAAAATAAACAAACAAATATAATCTTTAAAAAAAAAAACAGTATTCCTTTTCTGAATTTACTGCAACCATTGTCTTAAGAGCAGACTGACAATTAGATGTTATCTTAGTACAGCTCTTAACACTAACGTATTTTGTTAATACTTTTCAATCTATACATATCTGTCATGTTATCTGCAATGATACGATAATTCTTGAAGGACAATGTCTTATCTGGCTTTGTATCCCCAAGACCTGGCACTTTGCCTAGCAGTAAATGTCTGATGAATAATGAAAGGATGAAGAGTAGCAGCCGTGTTTATTATTCTGCTGTACTTTCATAGTAGCCAACACAGCCCTGGTAGAGTAGTCACGGAATCAATGTTATAAATTGGTCATTTACAAAAAATAATTTGTAGTATAGAAACGTGGGAGGTCGGGGTAGGGCTTCTGGCTGAGAGCAATTCCTTAGGAGAAACAGGTAAATCCGTAACAATAGTCTGGGGCCAGTTCACATGTCCTTGATAGTGCACAGACGTACCTACGAATGTATTCTTCTGAACTTTGGGCACCTTTGCTTACCTGATCTATCCACAACTTGCCCACGATAATGTTGTGCACCGTTGTGGTAACCTTCTTCCAAGTGTAATGGTGCCCAGTTGCATGGAAAATACAGTGGATGCTACCTGGGAACAGAGATAGATACACAAATTAAGTCAAATATTAGAACAATAGCACCATGTTAGCTACAAATAACAATGGATTGATTTTCTTCTAACAATATTTCTTACTTTTAAAAGGAAAGCAATAAACCAAAAAGGATTTATAATCTTCTTAAATGTTGGAAGCACTGATTGAATTTTTTCACTTCATTTTTAAATTTATGAATAAACTATAACTAAATGATGACAAACACTGACAACTGATAGAGCTTAGCTAGGAAGCAATATTCTGCAATTGCAGAAATAAAAATGAAAGCAAAAGCTCCAATATTTTCACCAACTGTGCCTGCCATACACATTGCAAAATTTACAGGAACAGGTCAAATCTGCCCCAACATGAAAAAATAAAATTGAACTGCGGAAAGGAGTACACATTGGTAGTCAGGCCTGAGGGCCAAGCCCTCTTGTTAGTAACTAGCTGTGTGACCTTAAATAAACCACTTTTCTAAGGGCATTAACAGTAATGGAGTAGTGGATAGAGCAAGGGCTTTGGAATCAGGCAGAACTGGACTGAATCCTGGCTCCCACACTCATTAGAGGTGTGAACCTGGGCTGTATAATAAAGAATCTGTCTGATCTTTGTCCACGGTGTCCGGGAGGGAACCTCTAAATCCTTGGACTTTCCCAAGTGATAGTAGTATCTGTGTTATTCATGGGGGCCCTGACAGTTTATGCCAATGAGGTAACATGGTGGGCCCCTGGATAGCTTATGCTCAGGATGAGGCCAGGCCAGAAAGATCAACCATGTAATTAGAGACTTGGGGCCTTGAATCACTTGCTATCAGCCGGACCTCCCGATCTCCTGGGAATGGTATTCCCTTCCCTCCAGGGAAGGAAGGAGACCTGGGTACTGAGTGTAGTCATGTGGCCAATGGCTCAATCATGCCCACCTAATGAAACCCTAGTAAAATCTCTGGACAATGAAGTTTGGTGCGGCTTCCTGGTTGGTGAACACATCAATGTGCGAGGAGGATCATGTGCCCTGATTCCATGGGGGAAGGCATGGAAGCTCCATGTTCAGGACACTTGCAGACCTTGCCCTATGTGTCTCTCCATTTGGCCGGTCCTGATCTATACCCTTTATAATAACTATGACAGTGAGGATAGTTCTTTCTTGGGTTCTATGAGTCATCCTAGCAAATTATCAAAACTGAAGCCAGCTGATCAGAAGTACAGAGGGCCTGGGAACCCCCAAACTTGTGGCTGGCACCTGCGGTGAGGGCGGTCTTGTTGGAGCCTGTGCCCTTGACTTATGGGGTCTGCATGAATCTGGGTGGTTAGCAACAAAATGCATGAGAGTACTATATCCGGCAGATGTTTTGTAATTTCCCTAGGCCTCAGCTTTATTAGCTGTAGACTTGGGATAAGCACACCTTGTTGTGCAGTAAATACAGTTTATCTGCACAGTAAGAAGCTTGCAACATAATCGGCACTCCGGACATAATAAACTTCTCTTGTCCCTATGAGTTCATTTCGCATACCAAACCAAAAAGTGAGGTGAACAGAAGTGACTAGAGATTCAAAATAATTAAGAACTTATACATATATACAAGAACTATATATATATATGTATATCTTTTTTTAAAGATTTCATTTATTTATTTGAGAGAGAGCACACACGCACATGTACGACTTGGGGGGCGGTGGGGGCAGAGGGAGAGTGAATCCCAAGCAAACTCTGTGCTCAGCGTGGAGTCCGACGTGGGGCTCAATCCCAGGACCCCGAGATTGTGACCTGAGCCAAAATCAAGAGTCAGATGCGTAACCAACAGAGCCACCCAGGCACCCCTCTATGTCTATCTTTATATACGTGTTGACTAATACAGTCAGTTACAGTACCAGGATAAGTCTAAGCTCCCTCTGCAACCACTAATGAACAGAAGACTCATTATGTGTCTTTCTCTCCTTCTCGTACAAGAGATTAAAATAGCCCTGCTGGCGGCAGCAGTGATGACAACGAGGCCAAGGGCAACAGCAGCAGCTCTGCTGTCAGCACCTGCTGTGTCCCAGGCACTGGGCTATGCTGTCCTCAACTATTAGCTCATTTAATCTTCACAACCACCTTTCAAGTATCTGTGCCACCTAAACATATGCTAAGTGTCCTGCTCAATACCTCTTCCACCGCAACTGCCGTCTAAAGCCACCATCAGGGGCGCCTGGGTGGCTCAGTCGTTAAGCGTCTGCCTTCGGCTCAGGTCATGATCCCAGGGTCCTGGGATCGAGCCCCGCATCGGGCTCCCTGCTCAGTGGGAGCCTGCTTCTCCATCTGCCTGCCGCCCTCCCTGCTCGTGCTTGCTCGCTCTCTCTGACAAATAGATAAAAAAAATCTTAAAAAGAAAATAATAAAGCCACCATCATCTCTTGCCTGAAGCTAACAACTCTGTTTTGGTCCCAGCTTCCACCACAGTCACCTTTGAGTCTCTGGTCAAAGCGATCCGTTTAAAACATGTCAAGTCAACTTACCACACTGTATAAAATCTCTCAGTTTCTTCCCACTGCAATGAAAACAAAACTCAACTCCTTTCCCTGCTGTACAAAACCCTACAAGATCTGGCCCCTGTCGACTCCTCAGATCGCACTCGGAAGCTGCTGTGGCCTTTGTGCTTCTCGAGCATGCTGTGCTCGCTCCCCTCTCAGGGGCCTTTATCTTTAAGGGGTTCTCTCTGCTGGGACATTCTTCTCCAGATCTTCTTCTGGTTGGCTTCTTTTCATTAGTTAGCTCTCTGCTCCAATGTAACCTCTTCAGAGAGAACTTCCTTGGTGACCTTGTCCAAGGAACCACCACAAACACATTCATTTCTCCACCACTCACCCCTATCTCTGCTTGCTCTATTTCTTCATAGAATTACCACTATATAAAATTAAATAATTATGGACAATAATTATTATCTAGGTGTTTGTTTAATTTTATGTCTGCTTAAGAAGAGAATGCAAGCTGGGGCATCTGGGTGGCTCAGACGGTTAAGGAACCAGCTCTTGATTTTGGCTCAGGTCACCATCTCAGGGTCTTGGGATCAAGCCCCACACTGGGCTGCAGGCTGGGCATGGAGTCTGCTTGAGATTCTCTCTCCCCCTGCTTCTGCCCTCCCTCACCCCCGCTCACACACTCTCTTTCTCTTCCAAAAAAAAAAAAAAAAAAAGGGAAAGAAAAGAACGTAAGCTAAGTGAGGGCAAAGTGGCTTTTGTCCACCATTATATACCCAGAGCACTGAGAACAGTTTCTGGCATACAGGGCACACTCAAATACCTGTTGACACCTCAGCTGCGGGCACTGTTATCCCCCATATTTGTTTCTATTGCTGCTAGAACCAATTGCCACAAACTTTACAGCTTAAAACAACACGGTTGTTAAATTGTTACATTTCTGGAAGTCAGAAGTCTAAGATTAAGTGTCAACAAGGGCTGTGCTCCTCTGAAGGCTCTATGGGAGATCCATTTTCTTGCCTTTTCCAGCTACCAGAGGCCACCCACATTCTCCAGCCTGTGGTCTCTTCCCAACGTCACTCTTGCTTCTGTTGTCACTGCCTCTTCAGAACGGTCAAGTAAGGACTTTATATATCTGTTCCTCAGTAAAATCAATAAGAACACTAGGCAAAAATAATCAGAATCAACTTTTTCAGAACTCTACTAAGAAAAATGAGCTTTGTGGCATTTTAACTTGCCCTCTTTCCATCCTCCTCTCCCCAGCTTGGCAGTAGCCTTGAAAACCAGCAGCCTCACAATCATGGTAGACATGAAAACCAGCAAGCAGCCTAGCAAACACTGGAGGCAGCAGATGGTATGAAGCTCCCCAAAAGCTCAATCTCCAAGGAACTGTCACTATCTGACCTGTCTGGTGGTTCCTGCGAAAGGGTTTATCTTTATTTGACGTGACTTAGCATCCGCTCACCTCAAAAAGCCTTTTCCCAGGGGTGACAAACAAAACAACCAATGACAATTGTTTAACACAGTAGCTGCCTGAGGTGGTGTTCACAATTGGAGCAGTTAAGGGGGCCCCTGGGTGGCTCAGTTGGCTGAGCATCCGACTTTCGGTTTTGGTTCAGGTCATGATCTCAGGGTCGTGACATCGAGCCCTGCATTGGGCTCCGCACTGAGCATGGAGTTTGCTTGGGATCCTCTTTTTCCCCTCTCCCTCTGCCCCTTCCCTGGTTGCTCTTGCTCTAAAACAAAACAAAACAAACAAAAAAACAAAACCCCACAACTGGAACAGTTAAAGAAATAATGGCCCGAAATTCCAAATTTGATGAAAAACATTCATCTGCATATCCAAGAGGCACAATGAACTCCAACAGGATAAACTCAAAGAGCACCATGCCAGAACCCATCATAATCAAACCACTGAGAGACAAAGAGAGACTCTTGAAAGCACTAAGAGAGAAGGGATGCATCACATATACATGATCCTCAATAAGATTATCAGAAACTTCAGAGGCCAGAAGGCAGTGGGGTGACATAACCAATAATGCTGAAAGAAAAAAATTTAGCAAACCAAGAATTCTATAGCCAGCAAAACTATCCTTCACAAACAAAGAACTTAAGACATTTTCAGACAAACAAAAACTTAAAGAATTCATAGCTAGCCGATCTTAAATAAATATACTAAAGGAAGTCTTTCAGGATGAAATGAAAGGACACTGGACAGCAACTTAAACCTCCATTAAGAAGAGACTGGTAAGGGGCACCTGAGTGGCTTAGTTAAGCATCTGCCTTCAGCTCAGGTCATGATCCCCAGGTCCAGGGGAGCCCCACATTGGGCTCCCTGTTCAGCATGGAGTCTGCTTCTCCTTCTGCCCCTCCCCCCCCCCGCTAACTCTCTCTCTCTCTCAAATAAATTAATGAAATCTTTTAAAAAAAGAAGAGACCAATAAAGGTAACTATAATTAAACTATTAAAAAATAACAGTATATATTTTTTGTTTGCAACTTTTTTTATGCTATATGATTTAAAAGACATGCCTATAAAGCAAGTTATAAAACTATGCTGATGAGATTATAATGTATGAAAACAATTTACATGAAAATAAAAACACAAAGGAAGAAAAAGGTACTGGATCTATATTGTTGCAAAGTTTTTGTGTACTATTGAAATTAAATTAGTATTAATCTGAACAAGATGCTTAGATGTTAATTGTACTACCCAGGATAACTGCTATAAAAATACCTTTAAAAATATAGTAAAAGAAATAACAACGGAATTAAAATGGTAAACTAGAGGGGTGCCTGGGTGGCTCAGGCGTTAAGCGTCTGCCTTCAGCTCAGGTCATGATCCCAGGGTCCTGGGATCGAGCCCCACATCGGGCTCCCTGCTTGGCGGGAACTTACTTCTCCCTCTCTCACTCCCCCTGCTTGTGTTCCCTCTCTCGCTGTGTCTCTCTCTGTCCTATAAATAAATAAATAAATAAATAAATCTTAAAAAAAAAAATGGTAAACTAGAAAAGTATTTAACATAAAAGAAGAAACTTACAGAGGAAGAGAGAACAAAAAAAAGACAGAAGACACACAGAAAACAAAAACTAACAAATAAAAAACCCAAAAAACAAAAATGGCAGATATAAATCCTACCTAATCAGTAATTAATTATAAGTAATCACTCTAATCAAAAAGTAGAAATTGCAAGAATGTTTAAAATATGTAAGGGGAATTTTTGTACTAAAATGCCACTCGGGAGCAAAATTCAAGGTCCACGGAGACCCACAGTGTCACTGACGCAGAGATTCAGGCTGACTGTTTGTTTCATTCATATTCCCTAATTGTGATTCTCTTCGGGTTAGAGAGCTCCAACACTATAAAATAACACCCATTTAAATGTGTCTTTTAGGGGCCCCTGACTGGCTCAGTTGGTAGAGCATGCAGCTCTTGATCTCGGGGTTGTGAGTTTGAGCCCCACACTGGGTGTAGAGAAAATGACTTATTAAATTATTACTTAAATATAACAATCTTAAAACAAATAAATACCTATATATGTAAATATGTCTCTTTCCTTTTTTTCTTTTTTCTTTATTTTTAAAGATTTTATTTACTTATTTGACAGAGAGAGACAGCGAGAGAGGAAACACAAGCAGGGAGAGTGGGAGAGGGCGAAGCAGGCTTCCAGCGGAGCAGGGAGCCCAATGTGGGGCTCAATCCCAGGACCTGAGCCGAAGGCAGATGTTTAATGACTGAGCCACTTAGGCGCCCCCTTTTCTTTCTTTTTTTTTTTTAAAGATTTTAAAAATTTATTTATTTGTCAGAGAGAGAGAGAGAGAACAAGCAGGGGGAGCTACAGAGGGAGAGGGAGAAGGAAGCTCCCCACTGAGCAGGGAGCCCGATGCGGGGCTCGATCCCAGGACCTTGGGATCATGACCTGAGCTGAAGGCAGATGCTTAACCAACTGAGCAACCCAGGTGCCCCATTTCTTTCTTTTCTTTTAGAGAGAGAGAGAATATGGGCATGTGGGTGAGGGGGAGAGGGAGAGAGAGAATCCTAAGCAGGCTCCATGCTCACTGTGGAGCTCAATGTGGGACTCGATCTTACGACCTTGAGATCAATGATCTGAAATCAAGAGTAGGATACTTAACCAACTGAGCCACTCAGGTGCCCCAAATGTGCCTCTTTCTTTTTTTTTTTTTTTTAAAGATTTTATTTATTCATTTGAGACACAGAGATAGAGAGAGAGAGCATGAGCAGGGGAGAGGCAGAGGGAGAGGGAGAAGCAGGCTCCCCGCTGAGCCAGGAGCCCAATGTGGGGCTCGATCCCAGGACCCTGGGATCATGACCTGAGCTGAAGGCAGATGCTTAACCATCTGAGCCACCCAGGCGCCCCCTCTTTCAACTTTAAGGCTACCACCTGGTTCCAATACCCTGGAACTTGATGAGCAAATTCACATGTATCCTCTGCCACTGTCTTCATTTTGCGCGCTTCCATTATGTTTTCTAGAAGCATTCTTCTTTCTAGATTACAGGAGTTCTAAGTTTTCTAATCTATTTTACAAGGAGACTCAAACTCCCTGCCACCACTTCCAAAAACCATCTGTTTGCCTACTCACTCACAACCCTGTCCAAATATTGTTCTTCAGTGACATCTATTGGTTTAACAATTTACCCTAGGAGAGTCGAGTGCCATTGCAAATGTAAAAATTTCACTGAAGGATTCTCCTTCCAAGTCACTGATCCAAAATATTAAATACAGCCATCCCCAGGGCCAATGTCCAGAAATCCCACGCTCTGTACTTGAGCTTCCTGTCACTATGTCAATTCTTTGTTCAATCTCCCTATGAAAACTGGGATCTTTGCTTTGCTCACTTATACTTCCTGCCTGGTATATGGCAGGTGCTCAGTATTTAATGGATGGAGGGACTTAAGACAACACAACCTGGGGGGCGCCTGGGTGGCTCAGTTGGTTAAGCAACTGCCTTCGGCTCAGGTCATGATCCTGGAGTCCCGGGATCGAGTCCCGCATCAGGCTCCCTGCTCAGCGAGGAGCCTGCTTCTCCCTCTGACCCTCCCCCCTCTCATGTACTCTCTCTCATTCTTGCTCTCTCAAATAAATAAATAAAATCTTTAAAAAAAAAAAAAAAAAAAGACAACACAACCTGGTGACCTGAATCCTTAAATAACCATAGGAATGGCATCCTATCAAAGATAATTTTTTAACTCTAAAAAGTTAGATCCACCACATATACCATGTTCATATAGTTATTTACCCCTCAGGGAACTCTATATTAGTTAAATCATAGAGAAAATGTATCACTGGTAGATTTACTGCTATTTTATTGCTATTTATGAGATTTATCGCTACTTTTAAACAAGCTCCCCCTACTTGTTCTCTCTCTCTCTCTGACAAATAAATAAATTTTAAAAATTTAAAAAAAGAAAAAAGAAAAGGCGGCTCCTTAGAGTTAAAATCCATCCCTTTGGAGATCCTCAGGGGGCCTCAAACTTCTCCATGGGTGAAAGTCATATTGTAACATGACCATTAACATCCTAGTTCTGCAAATTAGGTTAGAACACCCCAGGCTTTACTACTCTTTTTTTCTTTTTTTACAGATTTATTTATTTATTTGAGAGAGCGAGAATGAGAGAGAGAAAGAGTACATGAGAGGGGGGAGGGTTAGAGGAAGAAGCAGGCTCCTCGCCAAGCAGGGAGCCTGATGCAGGACTTGATCCAGGGACTCCAGGATCTCCAGGATCATGACCTGAGCCGAAGGCAGTCGCGTAACCAACTAAGCCACCCAGGCGCCCCAGGCTTTACTACTCTTAACCTAATACTTCTGAAATTGTTAGCATCAAAGACAGTTAAGCAATTTGAACCTTTTCTAAGGTCTTCAGTGAACCTCAAGACCAAAATCCCTCAGTCACCTTTGATCTAAGAGTCTTTTGCATATCAACCACAAGGCCCTAGAGCTAACACTCCCGTTTCTTTTCTCCTTTTAATATATCACAAACATTCCTGCATTTGTTTTCTGGCTAATTTTTTTTTCTAGAAACTTTCTCATTTCTATACCTGCTACATTTTGTTATTTCTGAGAGAAAGGGGAGTTTACTGAAGAAGACGACTCTAACCCAGCACTAAGGCTATGCCTCATGACAGACTAGAACTGGGAAATGGAAGGCCACCGGGAGCTTAGGCAGTTGCCCTGTCGGCTCTGTCTCTAGGGAGCTACTTGGTTTCTTTCTGTCTGCTCTGTGTTTCTTTTTCAGCATTCACTCTTCTGGACACACATGGCCAAATGTGGTTGCTCTGGTTCAAGAGAATCTCGAGAATCTCTACTACACTTTGTGAATAATCTCATTTCCCCTAAAGTATAGACTCTCCAATACTGCATATTAGGAGCCCTATTCCCAGGCCTGATCTTTTTCATGTTGGTGCACAATAAACTTGTAATCCAATAAGATCTTTTATTTTATTTATTTATTTTTTTAAAAGATTTTATTTATTTATTTGTGAGAGAGAGAATGAGAGAGAGCACATGAGAGGGGGGAGGGTCAGAGGGAGAAGCAGACTCCCTGCTGAGCAGGGAGCCCGATGCGGGACTCGATCCCAGGACTCCAGGATCATGACCTGAGCCGAAGGCAGTCGCTTAACCGACTGAGCCACCCAGGCGCCCTCAAATTAGATCTTTTAAAATAAAGTTTCATCTTACCTGGAGTTGAGCCATTCATTAATGATACTTCACCCTTCCAGTGGTGGAAGAGAGAGGGGAGAAAGGAGAGCAAAAGGGGAGGGACCGCCCGAGAAACCTAACCTTGCAGTCACAGGAACTGTGATTTACGGAGTGAAGCTAAGCTGACTGCTAGAGCAGTGGGGGCAACAACACTGGTTAAGAGAAAGAGTTTTAAGCACGCTAGATTTTATGTTCTAAAATAATACTTAAAGATTTATTAGATATAACTAAGAAGAAGCATTTATGACTGGATGGGTCCTTCAAGAATCTCATGCCTCCTCACTCATTTGATCGCTGAGAAGTGAAATGACCTGCCCAACGCTGGCGAGTTAAGGCTCAGTACCCAAATCAGATTTCTAGTCTCCTGACTATTAAACCAGTGACCACTTCTTTCATGCCAGAAAATCTTTCTTTTTTACACAGATGGCGGCCTTACCGAGGGGCATGATGGAGAGGTATTTGCCTCGGAATTTGCTGGTGATCTTGATTTCCTGACGCAGTGTCCAGCCATTTTTGGACTCGGCATGGTGTGCAGCAGCAGGAGGATGATGACTCACCTTGAAGAAATCAGTGGTTCAAATTAAGACGGAGGAAAGGAGAAGGAAAAGATACTGCCTATGAATTGGTGAGAAAACACCCAAAATGCACGCATGACATTTTTATACCCACAACAGTAGGTGAACACCAGGGCCTCCAGTGAAGCCCTAAAGGAAAAGAAGGCAGTCTGGAATGACAGGACTGGAATTTCTGCAAATATAACACCCAGGGGTATCAACCAAAACCAGCCCTTTCTTCAAAGTAAATGTGTCACAGTCCTGAGGCTCCTTTACCTGCTCACAGAGGGAGCGGTACCCATTCTCCTCTAATCGGTCCAGCTCGAAAGTCTCCCCAAGGAGTGGGTTGAATGGCTTGCTGGTACGGAAGACAGTAGTGGAGTAGGAGGACACGGTGAAAGCTGCAACGTAACAGAGCTGTTCTAGAGAGTTCTCACATTTTGCAGCTCGGTCTAACAGCTCATGGTATTCCAGATCTTCAGTAAGGCGCTGAAGCATGGATAAGGGCTCATTAAAGTTCACCTGTCAGGAAAAGAACAGATTTAAAAACTTTGCCCACACATCTATAAGAGACAGTTGAATGTTTCTGCAGGTAGAGAGACCTATCGCGATGTCGAGATGATAAAGCCGATCACTGGGAAGAAAAGAGGCCTCTGCTCAGGAGACCAGCTCTAAGATCTAACCTACAAGTGACCCACTCTCCCTGGTCAACTGTCCTTGTCAATGAGCGGTATAAATCACTGTTTTCATTTATTTCACTAACTGTAAGCTCTTTGAGATGAGAACCGTGCCTCTTCGTTCATCCCTGCATATCCGAGAGCCATTGATGCCTCATCCATTGGAAACCATCATCAAATAGGTATAGAAAGAATGAATAAAAGAAGAAATGTATTTTAGCACAAGTATACTCAGAGAGGAAGTAAGGTATTTAAAATTCTTGAGGAAGAAAAGAAAGGGTAGTAAATTATGAGTACAGGATTGTCCCGACTGGTGAAAAGAAAACATTACAAAAGTTAGCTTCTACTCCTGGATAAGACAATTGCTAATTTTTTTTTTTTTAAGATTTTATTATTTTTTTTGTGAGAGAGAGCGAGCTCAAGCGGGGGGAGGGGCAGAGGGAGAGGGAGAAGCAGACTCCCGCTGAGCAAGGAGCCCGACATGGGTCTCGATTCCAGGACCCTGGTGTCATAACCTGAGCTGAAGGCAGACACTTAACTGACTGAGCCACCCAGCCGCCCCTCAATTGCTAATTATTGATTCAGTTCTACATCAGGCCAGGATTCTGGTTTCTTCTCTGAGGCTGGACAGTTGTGTTCTGAACAGGAGTGCTCATGATGGGGGCTCACTGGGGGCTTCGGGTGTTTCTGCCTTTCAAGTTTCAGAGCCAACTTAGGGCTCTCAACCACAGGATGAAGAAAGTATGTGTGTGCTTCTGTAGGGCAGATGTTCATTCATTCATTGATCCCCTTACACGTTCCACAAATATTTAGTGATCCCTCATGTTTGCCAGATCCTGTACCATCCGCTGGGTATAGAGAGACGTGAACAAAAGAGACATTATCTCTCCATCCCCCCAAAAAAGAGTTAATTTCTAAATTGACTGGAATTTAAGATGACTTTACTACTTAAAAAATCACTATAAAAAACAGGTTAGGTTCCCAGGCTAGCCCACAAAGCTTACTTTAGCTTTACAATACAGCAATCTCGCTGAACAAGCCTGCATATCATTAGCCTGAGTTTTGAACCCAGAGAACAGAGGAAGGAGGAAAACAATTCCCTTTCTATTGACTAGCGCTGGCCTAGAGCAATATTTCAGTTAAAACAAACAAAAACACTTCTCTTTCCTGTGGTCCCACCTCTTTTTCCACATTTTTGTCCAACCTCCTACCTACCAATCTCTGAGCCACATAGTACCCTAATATTTACTGCCCTCCCAATTGTGAACTGTCTTGTAGTTTCTGCTATAAAAGCTTTAAAAAGGAAAAAATTTACCTGAGATGCCATTACCCAAAGATAACCATTATATTTTCATGTTTATTTCTATGCATTTATACATTTAAAAAATGAAAAATAGGCTACAGCCTGCTTTTTCTCTGAGAAATATACCCAGCATTTCTCTGTGAAAATTTCCCAGTGAACACAGAGCCACCGGACCAACAATAGAACACTCCCCTTTTGGGGGGCGCCTGGGTGGCTCAGTCGGTTAAGCGTCTGCCTTCAGCTCCGGTCATAATCTCAGGGTCCTGGGATCGAGCCCCGCATTGGGCTCTCCACTCAGTGGGGAGTCAGCTTCTCCCTCTCACTCTCCCCTCTGTGCTCTCTCTCTCTCTCAAATAAATTACAAATTAAAATCTAAAAAAAAAAAGAACACTCCTCTTTTGGGAAGTAGGATCTTGAAGAAATCAGTGCCTCAACTAAAACAGGGCACCACATTCCAACACCATCTTCTTGACACTGAGAGACACTTAGAGAAAAACAGAAGAAAAAATGCACACTGAGGGGTAATGGACTAACAGAGCTCAAATCCTCAAGAGTCTTTTTTACAGAAGGTACTTAGAAACTACGCCAATAAAATCTCCTTGGCAGAATTTCAGGCAACACAAAGTAACGCTTCCATGCATGTTGAGGGACACCGGACGAGCAGTGCGCTCCGCTGGTGGCTACAAGACATACGGGCACAGCCTTAGGCATCCGTAAGCCCTCGCTGTTCTTCACACACACGCAGCCCTGGCCCCCGACCACTGTTCCAGGAACCAGAGTTTCTTTAAGGCGCCAAGCTTTTCATATTGGTCATTTTATCAGCCAGAGGCCCAACAGGGAAACAAAGGAAGGAGGGAATTCATTACACGGCTGATGGAGATCACAACAGCTGGAGGAACAGAGAGAAGCAGCGGCAGAACCATGGCCCAGAGGCCAGAGGCTCCCAGCAGAAGCTGAAGCCTCACGGGCCCCGTCCAGTGGAAACCAGAGCCACACAGCCACCGTTAAAGCACTGCCCAGGAGAATGCACGGCCGGGGTCCCTCCCTTCTCCAACCGCCCCCCACAACTCCTACTGGTGCCTTGCACTGGTGGAGCGCAGCTGGCCGCCAAGACACAGAACCCGAGAAACAGCCTAGAGGACCCAGCTCTCCTGTGACGCCCCACGGTGCAGGCAGAGGGTGAGGACTAGAGCTTCGGGCAAACAGCCACAGGACTGCATACCCCTAGTGTCAAGGTCAACAAGGAACTAATGGTAAAGGAGAGAGAGAGGTCACCTAGCCTCGGAAGTTATCTCTAAGCAGGAACTGCATTTCTGAGGCTGCAATGACGTCCTTCCCACTACTTTCTGCAAGGCACCAGGAAAGTGCGGCTTCTTTTCAGACCCTCCAGTAAACCAACTATATTGTGTGTCTCCACGGTGCTAACTCGTGGCCTTTTCTTGTCTGGACGTCCACGCTTTTCTGACAAAAAGCCTACACACTTACATATAAATCACTGTTTTCTAAGACCCAGTTAATTATTTCAACAATTGCTAACTGGTGTACCTGTGCCAGGCACTGGCTCAGCATCTAAGATCTGAAGACCAGGAAGACACAGTCTCTCCCCATAAGGAACGCAGTCTGTGGAGAAGCAGAAGCCACACGCTGCTTCCTGAGACCCAAGAGGGGAGGAGAATACTTTTTGTATTTCTCTATGCTACCCCCCACTCTCCATTCTTCCCTTCTTCTGCAAGACATAGAACCCTCCAGTGTTTAACTAGGCCACCCCACTGAAAGTAGGAGACCCCCTTGCCAGCTGTGGCCATATAACTAAGTTCTGGCCAAAGAGACTAAAGTGAAACTAGTTTATGCAATTTCTAGGACGCACTCTTAACAGGCAGGGCATGGCCTTCTCGTTCCTTCTTCCTGCTGACTGGAATGAGATCCTGATGGTCCCAGCCGGGGCGGCCACTTCAGACCTAGGAACTGAGGCCACAGGTAGGAGAGCAACAGGGTAGAAAGAAGCGTGGTCCTGACAGCGTGGAGTATGGTACCAGCCCTGGATCCCCTAGCTCCAGACTTTAACAGGAGAATGAGTTAAGCTAATATCTGTTTAAGGTAGGAGTTGGCCAGCTTTTTCTGTAAAAGGTAAGACAGTAAATATTTATATGGCCCTCAAAGCCTGAATATTCCCTATCGCACACGACACTGCCATACGGTCTCGGTCACAGCTGCTCGACACTGCCGCCGAAGGACGAAAGCAGCCACGGACAGTACACGCATGAACCAGCATCACTGTGGTCCAATAAAACTCACGGGATGCTAACATCTCAATTTTACGTAATTTTCACGTCACGAAATATTATCCTCTTTTTTATTCTTTTGAAATATTTAAAAACATAAAAACTATTCTTAGCTTGCAGGCTGCATAGATGGCAGCCAGATTTGGCCTTGAGGCCCACAGTTTGCTGACCCTGGGTTTAGACAAACAGATTTGGGATTTGTTTCGTCACTGATACACTGGTGCAACACCAGGCAGAGAGCAGGCACTCAGTAAATGCTTGTGTAATGACTGAGCAATGGAACCTGCTGGAACACAAGGGAGAGCCATCTCACCCTGACCGGATGCATGGGTGAAAGCTCACTCCCGGACATAATGCTAAAGCTGAATCCTCAAGGCGATTAGCCACGGGAAAAGAAAAGTAGGATGGGTGCGTGGGGAGCTGATGAAAGTTGGGGTAGAAAGAGCAGTCTGTGCAAATGCCCCACGGGGGAGAAGCCAAGATGCCTCTGCAAACCTGAAGGTAACTCTGAAGGACTGGATCACCAGTGTGGGTGGAGCCTGGCCCAGGGGAGGAAGAATCAGGCCCACTAAGGAATCTGGACTACCCTCAAAGCCAAAAAGGATCCAGTTAAGGATTTTAGGCTAAGGAGTGACAGGACTACATCTGTAATTTTAAAAAGGTCATTCTGGCTACAGTGTGGACAGAGTGGAGGAGGGAAGGGTGGGAGGCACGGAGGTCAGCCCAAACACCGACTTCACCATGGAGAGGATCCTCATCTTCCCAGACGGAACAGACTGTTTTTGTTCTGCGCTCCCCAAGCCTGTGTACGGCTAGTACTTCCCGTAACACTACCATGGAGACTAAAATTTTCTACCTGTTTTCATGGTCTGTCTCTTTTAAACTACATGCTTTTTGAAAACAGAAACTCCGCTCTGTTTATCTGTGCATGCCCCCAGCACGTCGCGCTTAGGAATCTGCTCATAAATGTCACTAAACAAATGCATCTGATTCGAAGTGATCCGGAGACACACCAGATCTACAGACTACATTAAAGCAGCTAATTTTTTAAGGGACAGTTTATGACTATAAGGGTAACAAAGACCACGCCACACATGAACTGCCTCTCGAGCGCATGCGGCTGTCCCAGCAAGCACACTTCCCGCTGCGGCCCGAGAGGCCTTCCTGGCAGAGCCCAGGCGTGCAAGAGCCTCACCGGCATGGGGATCTTTGAGAGTTCTTTTCCAATGCAGTTCTTCATGATGCTCCATAAATTGAGGCTGTAGTTTGGCTTGTATGGTATTCTAGTTCTCTTTTCCTTCTTGGTCTCTTCCAGCTGATGCTTGTACTAAGGGCAAAAACAAAGCCATTCAGTCACCCACAAAGAACAGAAAACCCGGTATTTATAAGCTTCCCTTCCCCCATATTAAAAAAGAATCAGTATTTTCTGTTTCTCGTAGGGCTTTACAGGCAAATCCTTGGGAATCATGCCCACATCCCTCACCCGATGGCTCCCGAATGAGTGTTACCTGTTCATCCAGGCTGATGTCACTGCTGGCCCCGCTGATGTTGCTGCCAGTCCGTCTACACAGGTGGGAAACATGTGAGAATCAGAACAAGGGTCAACAACCAGAGTCTGGTCCGCACCAGGTCTCTACAAAGCGGAATGCAAAGCACACCGCACAAACTTAGTAACGGGTGACCGAAGGACACTTAGATTAGAATATGCATGAATTTAAACATCTCTGGAGGTCGTTCATGGAAAAAAGTTGAGGGTTTTCCATTCATTTAAGGAAAAGAGTCCAGATCTGAGTTAACATCGACAAGTTTGATAGTCCCACTGAAACATTTCTCAACTCTGAAGGTCGGATGTGTTCATTTTGGGGGGGGTCAAGGACAACTTACTTGTGGCCCAAATTCTCAGGCATGGTGATGATCTCAGGAGCATCAAAAAACTCATTCTCATCATCTTCATCACTCATGTCTCCTTTGCCAGAGCAGCACTGATCTGTGAGGAGAAGGCCATTCGTTTACTTTGGCTCAATTGACCAAAACCCGGCCCAGCAGGGTCTTGACCACACTAACTACCAACAGAGCAACACTTGATAGAGAGCAGCAGAAGAGCCAAGTAAACAGCTCCAACTCCCTGGCCCAGGAGTCACTGATCCTGGAGAGTCTGCAGGTCTGCTATCAACGGCAGAAAACCACCTGGCTCATATCTGAACAGGCCACCCAAGCGACTTACCTTTTCCAGAACCAGCAGTGCCCGGAGTGTTGGCTGGCAGCACCGTGGCCCCCCGGAAGGCCCTCTCCAGGTGATTATGTTGCTTCGCTAGCTGCTCCAGGGTCTCCTCCAGCCGGATACGCTGGTCTCTCTCATACTGAAGGGACTTCTGCCACTTTTTACTATGGGTCTGGGCTAACATGAGGAAATCTCTGCAGGCCTGGACGGAGAAGGAGTTATGCTCAACTCAACTAGTCAGAGCTTTCCCTCAGGCCTCTGTAAGCCCATTAAAGTAACCATATTCTAGGAACTTTAGCAAATTACAGCGAAAGGCTCCTTTTTATTCCACGGTATCAGGGACAGCCAGCTCCGTGATGCAATCAAGGTCAATCCCAGAAAAAAAACTGAACATGGTTGTTATGGTTCCTTTATATATTCCTGGTCATGAGGACTAAACAAATGCCAAGTGAGCAATAAACCTAGGCAAGGTATTTGTGGCAACATCGCCAGGGGCAACTATGTGAACTGAACCCAAAGAAGCAATCTACTGACTAAAAGAAAGATGAGGACAAGCAGAGGATAATTGCTTTCAATACATTCCTGACCACACTCAGGTCACCTAAAGCTGAGGAATTCAGATGCTGAGAAAAGGGAGTCTGTCCTGAATTAGATCAAAATTGGGAAAAGTAACTGGTTTTTATCTTGGTCACGAAGAGAAACAACTGACCTTAAAAACTACAAGCCTATGTGGGCATCAAGGAAGGGATCTACAGACAAAATACAGACCTGATCATATTAGCCCCTTCACTGGCTCCCCCATTGGGTTGACCGTCAAGGGCCCTTCAGGTGTGGCCACCACCTGCCTTGTAGCCTCCTCCCCTCCTCTTTGTTCTTTAAGATCTGTGGCAAATGTTACTTCTTCTGTGATGATTTCATAAGCAGCCAATCTCTCCTCTGCATTTCCATAGCACTATGCACACACTTCCGTTTTATACCATCCACAGTGGTATTGTGACTGATTTTCTGTCTCTCCAGGTGGATTATGAGCAACCCGAAGACACCATTTATACCTTATTTATACACATATCTCCAGCTCCTAACTTAGTTGCTTTGTACATTGTAGGAGCCTGATAAAGGTTGCTTAATAAATAATGAAGGCAGGAAGCAATGTAAACTTAAAAGTCTATGCCCTGTTATGGAGAAAATAAAAGATAAACAGAGTATCTACTCCCATGGTTTCAACCTTTGCCTATAAGCTAATGCCCATGAAATCAGTAATTCCAGCTCTGTATTCATGGAGACAGGATATCCAATTGTCTATCCAATGGTTCAAAGTAATCTCAACATCATCGGGTCCCAGAGTGAACTCACCACATTCCCGTTCTGACTCTGCTTCTCCACGCCAAGAACAGTACCAGGGCCCTTCCCCCTGCCCAAGCCAGGAAACTAGGAGGCACCTTTGATTCTTAATTTTTCTTCCCTCCCCACTTCTGATTATCAAGTCCTATTGAATCTTCTTTAATATTTCTGGGATCTGTGTACACATCTTTCCATCCTCCATACTCAGAGGCGTTCCATTGTTGGGGCTCTAATCGCAGCTCCATCCCACTATCTAGCTATGGAATTTGGGGCAAGTCATTTAACCTATCTGTGCCTCATATGCAAACAAAGAACAACCACAGCAACTATCTCAAAGAGTTGTCGCTTTACATATAAAGCATTTAGAAATCTGAGGCTCACGGTAAGCATTCAATAAGGTGTTAGCTATCATAGTTAAGCCTGCATCAAAATAGGTCTTATCCTCTTCTAATCCACTCTACCAAGCCCATTTAGTAGGATCTGCACCCCATCCCCTCCCCCACACTTAATCCCTGGCCAGCCTTATCTCTAGCTACTTCCTTGTTCTAACAGTCAATTAGTAGTTTCCAGACTTTGAGAGAGAGGGAAGGGATCCCCATGAGCCACAGCTGTACCTAGATCAGTTCCTCTCCCTCACTTCTTTTAAGAATACTGGTCATAACTAAAGTTTAGTGAAAGGCAATTATATGTCAGGCACTTTGCTGAACCCTTTACATTAATTATCTAATAGAAGCCTTTCAACAATCCTTTCAGCAGCTACTAGTTTCATCACCATTTACAGAAAAGGAATTGAGTTCACAGAGGAAGCAGGTTATGTAGATAGCTAAGGCAGTTGGACTTCAGGCCCCCAAGCTGTCAATATTGCCTTTTTTCATAGGAAGAGTCTCTCTGGTCTTTCAGAACTTAGTTGAGGAGTCACCTTCTCTAATCTTCCTGGTATGAGCTAAACACTTCCAATATCCTATATATACCATAGCACCCTGTGTTCCTTTCTATCATGACACCTAGCACACTCCATAATGATCCGTTTACTTCTCTGTCCCCTCACTAGAGAATAATCTCCCTGAGGGCAGGGACCATATCCATATTTGTTTTATATCCCCTAGCACAGTGCCTAGAACACAGATGGTGCTCAACAGATGTTTCCTGAATAAGCAAATGGATACACTAACAGTATCAGATGTATCTCCCAGGTTCAATTCACTTTGGTAGAAAGAAGAGCTATGTCCTAAGCAATCAAGAAATTGAGTGAAATGTATTCTTCCTTTGATAAAACTTTGCCTGTTGTGAGATGTAAAGTCAGCATGTTAATTTTAAGGCCTTGCCACTATCACCTAAAAGATACCAAGGAAAAAATGCAAGGATAAAAAAACCCATTTCAAGCAACAACCAGCTATGAAGGGGGCATAGGCAGTACACTGGGGAGAACAGAATGAAAAAACAGAACTTACCTCTGATTGCCAAAGGATCATTCCCTTTGACACAAACTCTGAACATTTACAACTTGGGGAAGAAGAACTGCCCCAACGAACAAAGATGGGCATTTCTTTCAAAAGAAAAATCCAAACTAAGTTTCAGTTTTATGAAAAAATTTTTTAACCAAGAGGTGTTTAATTTTTCACATCAGAGGAGAAAAAAACCTGCCATGGAGCAGGGATAAAAGGCCACATTCACTGTCAGGAGACTGTTGTGTCCTGTTCCATTTAAGAAGTATATTTATTGGTGAATTGACCTGTATTTTTTACGAGGTTTTCCTGATCATAAGAGGACCTGAAAAACAGGCACACAGTCACTAAGAAGTGGGACAGTTTGGAACAAGAGCATACGATTAGACATTAGAACCACAAGCATTCGTGCTGATGGGCAGAATGGGCTTGGGAGACAGCTGATCTTCCTGCAGTCCTTAAGTGGACAAAAATAATTAGCCTCTTCTACATGGTGTGTGAATCAGAGCACTGAAGAAAATGTTCAGCATTTCAGAAAATGATATGAAAATCAAGGTTATCACAACTTTCTATGGAGTAACAAAGGGGTTTTTAAGTGAGAAAAACTAAAATTTCCCCTGGGCACGAGAAAGACCTTTGATTTCTAGAAGCCATGTGAACTAAACTAGTTCTAAGCAAATGTCTTAGTATCACTCCCTGAACAAGGGAAAATCTGGCCCTAGTGAGGTAATTTCATCGCATTTAATTGGACAGGGGCAAAACCAGCATAAGCCCTTTCTCAGAATACTCTTTTCACTTGCCTTAGGACACATCCTCTGGTGTTCTTCTGTGCAAGTGAACTGAAACAACGCACCAGGTGAGAATCAGTCACCGACAGAGGAGCAACAGTGCCGTTTAAACCATGTATTCATTTCACACCTGTCACCCAGTATCTGAAATACATCCCAACGCCCGCCATGCTCTGAGTTTACCTAGAGCCCTGCACCCAAGCAGCTGAAGTATTCCACACAGCCACCCGAGGCTGGAGTCATAATAAAACAGAAGCACTGATCCCTTCTATTTTTAAAGCAAAGTATCCAAATTTGAGTACTTTTGTCTTATCACCCAGAATTAGCCCCGGAATCAAGGACTACACAGATGGGACTAACTAGTATTATAAAGTTCTCACTAGTACCTGGCCGGCCCCCACTTACCACACCGTAGGCCAGAGCGCACTAGCAAAGTATGGTAAGACTCCCAACTTGAAGCTCACACACGACAGTGGAAGGGACCCACGGAGACCACTCCGATCCAACAGATCAAGTTAGATAAAAACAAATTAACAAAACCGCAACCCAGAGAGGTTAAGGGACTCAACTAACATCACCATCGGCTGTCCTGCCGGCTGCAGAAGCAAGGCTGGGCCTCTGGCCTCCTAACGAAGTCCCAGGTTGGAGAGCACTGTGTGAGCAGAGCATGAAAGTCATTGCATCTGCGCGGTCTGTTCTCTTTCATGCAACGGATAATGTAACTTAAATCCCCTGAGCAGTGAAGCAGGACCTACCGTTCCCTGCTTTATCAATTACAATTTGCCCCAGCACGGCACGTGGGGAGAACTGCACTCTGAAGAGGGAGGGAATGAAAAGGCAACCCAGGCGCTGGCTGCACTCACGTTGATCATGGCATTGGATGTTATCCTAAAGAGCGTGGCCCGTTCATTGACCTGCTTGATCTTCTCGTTGCTCTCGGCGGGCAGCCGCAGGGCCTCCAGCTCGCTGAGCGAGCGCTGCAGCGCTGTGCCGTGCTTGGCTATCAGGTCGTTGCACGTGCTCAGGTCCTCCACTTTGCTGGACAGCGTCCGCAGGGTGTTCTGCAGCTCCGTCTTGTCGGTTTGTGAGACAGACTCTTCGTCTCCTGACTCATCTGGAGGAGCCAAAGGTGAGTTACAGGACTCCGGTTACGTGACTCCAGAGCTGAGAGTCAGAACCCCACCCACTCTGCCCGCAACGAAACCAGCCGTGCTTTCGGACCAGCTGAGGGCTTGCCATTACCAGACAACTGGGCTCTGCTGTGGTCCGCGGCCCACCTGTACCACAAACCCCTGAGTGGTTCTTCCTTTTTCTCCCGCTGTGGCACACGCCAATGAGCATTTACTTTGCCCATGCTTTTCTTTTTTCTTCCAGTGTTATTGAGTCATCACTGACATATAGCATATATATGTAACATATAGCACTGTATAAGCATAATGATTTGACTTACATATATTGACAAATGATTATCACAGTAAATGTAGTTAGCATCCATCATCTCATATAGACACACAAAAAAGGGGAAAAAAGTTTTTTTCCTAGTGATGAGAACTTCTAGGATGTACTCTCTTAGCAATTATCAAATATACCATATAGTGTTAACTATAGTCATCATTTAGGGGCGCCTGGGTGGCTCACTCAGTTAAGCATCTGCCTTTTGCTCAGGTTATGATCCCTGGGTCCTGGGATCGAGCCCCGCATCGAGTCTGCTTCTCCCTCTTCCTGCCGCTCCCCCTGCTTATGCTCACTCTCTCTCTCTCTGTTAAATAAACAAATAAAATCTTAAAAAAACAAAAAACAAAAAACTATAGTCATCATGGGGATGTATGTCACATCCCCAGTATTTATTTATCTTATAACTAAAAGTCTGTACCTTTTGTCCACCTACATTCAATTTCCCCACCCCTCCCCCCACCCCTAGGCTTCTTCTTAATGGCGCCAACACTCTGGCCCCACCCCAGAAATTGATTTGGCTGGTGTGAGGCAAGGCCCAGGAACCTGAATTTTGAATAAGCTGCCCAGACCATTCTGATGCACACTGAAGTTTGAGAATCAATGATCCCTGGAAGATAGGATGGAGAAGCTAAATAGCTCCTGGGATTGGGAATGAATTGTTGAGCCTTGTAACTCCAGTTTGAGGGTTCCAATCCAGTCCAAGCTGATCATTACTATAAATCCACCATTATCCACTGGGTGATGGGTGAGCCCTGTATGAAATGGGTTGAGAATTGCACTCTGGTTCTTTGTAAGCAATATCCACATCACCAAAAGACTCATTAATTTACCTTTTCCAAAGGAGAGCTCAGGAAGTTTGTGATGAACTCATCTGACACTAAAGCCACCCCTGCACTGAAATGACCCTCCAACAGTAGGTCAAATAGAGCCACGCTGTACCTCTCGCTATCAGTTCTGTACCCAACACTCTGCAACTGCAAAATGCTTTTCTAGCAGTGTCACTTCCTTTGGGGGAGCTAACATCAGCACTAAAATCAAAACAAAAGAAATAAGGAAAGACCTCCCCTATCTGCTAGCCTGAGAGGCAGGACTGAAGTCAAAATATAACCTGTTACGAAAAAACTTACAAAGCGGTAAATTTCTTTTCACTGTTTAATAGATATAATACAGTGTGGGAAATGACAGGGGATAAAAAAACAAGAGATGAACCAAAGCCAGCAGGTGACCATCTTGGTCAGTTCTGGGTGGACAAGCTCAGTGTGATTAAACTATCAACAAGGGGGGGGCAGGGGAAATACCACCATTTTCCTTGAAGAAAAATCGAAACATGTGTAGACCACTCTTTTTAGTGAAACTAAGGTAGCAAACTGAAGATTTTCCATAGGAGGTATCCCATATAATGTGTCTTGCAATCTATAAAGACTGTTTCAACTCAGAAGATACTTAAGTAAGAAAATGCCAGGAGAAAAAGAAAACAAATAAAGATAGAATCTAACCGTGAGTTGTAATAATCTTAAGACAGACCTAGCAATAAAATATTTCTTTCCCCAAATTTTAAGGTAGTCAAATGGCATTAAAAGCCAAAACAACAACCATTATGCTTCGAGGACAGAGTTTCTCCGCCTTGGTACTACTGACATTTGGGCCCAGTTAACTCCTCTTTGTGAGGGCTGTCCTGTGCAGCCTCCCGGCCTCTCCTCACTGGGTGCCCATAGTACCAGCATCCCTCAGCTAGGACCACAGAAACATCTCCAGACACTGCCTGATGACCCCCGCAGGGCAGAACTGCGCCCAGATGAAAACCACCATTCCGGGAGAAATACCGCATGAGGAGGAGATGCCTGAGTCAGTCAGATGGGTGATAATTAACGGACAGTGAGGTACAAAATAAGGTATGTGCCTAGGAGGGGCAAACAGGAAGCTCCCCAGACGTGGTGTTCTCTGCTCCCTACCCGATTCTGCCAGCATCTTCACAGCCTTCGCCTTGGCCAGCTCCAGGGCCGTCACCCAGCGCTGCCGCTCCACCTCTGAGCTTGCCTTCAGATGGTAGGTCTGAGCGCCGCCATTGGAGATGATGAAGTTGCAGGAGTCCTCCACGGTGATGTTGGCCGTGGCGAGGTTGATGGTACCACGGCAAGTGTGTCTCATTTCTGCCTTTGACCTGCAATTATGAGACAAAGACCAGCTAAGCAGAAAGTGGATGGGTGGTTTATCCTTCACCGCCTTCCTTGTCTTCTCATAGCTCTAAGCTTTTTGAACATGTGGCAGCCTTAGGAAACAGCAAGTTCTACTATTTCCCTTACACAGTTCCCTAAGATTCCAGAAACAATCAGTAGGGATTTCCTTTCACAGCCATGAAGTGGTATTACTGAGTCAGACTGTATTGCTCTGCTGTTTTAGAAACAGCCTTCATGGAAGTATAAAAACATACAATGTTAATTCAGCAATTTTAAGTGTATAATGCAGTGAGTTTTGACAAATGTATACAACTGTGTAACCACCTCCACAATCAAAATGTAGAACATGTCCATCACACCAAAAAAAGTTCCCTCATTACCCTTTTGTAGTCAGGAATTACTTCTTAGTTAGCAAGTTATAATTTTAAAATAGTGATTTATGGGGCGCCTGGGTGGCTCAGATGGTTAAGCATCTGCCTTCAGCTCCGGTCATGATCTCCAGTTCCTGGGATCAAGTACCATGTCGGGTTCCCAGCTCAGCAGGGAGTCTGTTTCTCCCTCTCCCTCTCCCCCTGCTTGTGCTCTCTCTCTCTCTCAAATGAATAAGCAAAATCTTAAAAAAAATAAAATAAAATAGTGACTTATAAACTCACACAACAAAATTTCTTTTAACACTCTCACTCCCTCAGAGAAAGAATAGCTCCATTTCACATATACTAAACAACCCCCCTCCCTAACCTCAACTCAGCCCAAATGAGAATTGTCATACTACGCTTAGAATTATATTGCATCAGTGTAAGGCACACGGAGATGCTTAGGGTATTAAATATTGACTACAGCTCAAATGATATGAAAGAGGAATAACTAGCTTTCTGTGGGAGTAAAGAAAGAATCATCATAAAAGAATCACCAAGTATATAATCTTTTGGGAATATGCTCTTTCCAAGGATCCACTGACTTCTATTGGTAGGAACTCCTAAGCCATCCTATTAATAGCTAGGAAAGATTCAGCAAATCTGTTCTCAGAGGATTGGGTGTAAAAATTTTCCCCATCTCTACTGACAGTTCTATTAATAGACTAACTTTTGAACTTTACATCACTACCTGGTGACAACAAGCTCCTTCACAGAAAATACCAAGCTGCTAGCACAATTGTGTATACCTTGCAAACTGAGTTAATTTCCCCACCGCCCGTTGGGTTATGCCCAGAGACCTGCATGTTGAGACCACAGTTTTCCCTGACCAACTTGGAACATAAAGAGGTCGAAGTCCTTTGCCAACTGCCACAGTGCAGAGCGGAGCCATTTCCCTTTCACTGGAGTCAAGCAGCCCCATACACCTGGCACATCCAGAATTCCTGTGTGCTGGAAACGACACACACCCCATCTCCAGAAACTAAGACTTGGTATGTTTGAGAAAGTCTGTTTACTGTGCTTAGGAAGACAGATTTGCTATTGTTCAGCGTGTCACATGAAACTGGTTTTTCCTCCTCAAATGCACAAATGAGTAGTATGGGATGGCCAAGGAGGTCTCAATGGCCTGGGCCATTTTCTATCCCCTGCACCTGCCACACTGTAATGTGAATCCCTGTTTTTTCTATTCTTACCTCCCCTCCCCCCGCCCCTAAGCTTCAGTTACATTATGAATAATGCAGGCTGAATTTCAGACCCACAGCTGACAGGCCAGCTCACCCTTGCTTTCTACTCCAAAGGTGCTACTTGGACTTTGTACCACATTCCTCACAATCTGTTGGTACTTTTCACCTGCCACTTCCTAGGAATCTCTTCTGCCTGGGTCATCTTCATGAACTAAAGGAGTTTCTCAAATCATATAAAGTTCGTAGCAGTTTTAGAAATACCAAGGAACCCAAAGAGTAAGGCAGGCTTGACTCAGGAGCTCTTGGGTTCAGGCAGATACACCTATGTTTATAAATGATTAGTGCAGTTCAGAGTGCAAGATAAGTTCTTCCGGCACTACGGTAACAATTAGGTGGTACTTTCTGTCTGCAAAGTTCCCTGAAAAGGCCAGCCAAAACAGTAACTCAATCTCTGGAAGCTAGTCAGGAAAACTAATGCTATTTGTCTGGGAAAGCTGAGGGTCTACATATGGTTTTAAGTAATGGGACATCCATGTAACTGTGTATGTAAGGAAGAACAGGATGGGTAAAAAGAGGGAAGTGGCCCGCCAAAGCCCGTTAGGACGGTTCATCACAGGATGGGTCAAAGAAATATATGCTCTCAGTTAAAAAGAAAATAGCATTTTGTAAAAGGCATATAGAGGAGATGACAGGTTATGGAGGCATGAAAAGTGGGAGGAATGACAATTCAGCTAAATAACTCTAGGGAGATGGGGACCCGAAGAACCCTGTTAAGAAGAATAAACTACCAATGTAGTCAGTAGGAAGTACTTCAAAGTGATTTTGAAGGTACTGCAGATTTGATAACCCTGGTTCCTGTTGCTTGGTTGGTTTGTGGGTGGGACCATCTTAGCTGGCAAAGACAGGCCTATGCACATTTCCCAGTATGTGGTTTGGTATGCTTTGGAAGGAGTCTGATCTGTAGTCAGACAGGTACCATTAGCTCTTGTGAGAGAGAAGTTAAAAGTAGTTACAAACACCTGAAGAGACAGCAACATGTAACTTCTTAATGTCCAGCCAAGATCAATACTGATTAAGACTGGTACTGATTAAAGAATCAACTGGCCTGGAAAGTGAATCTGGTAAGAACTTGGATGAGGAAAAATGGCCACAGGAAGGCCCTCAGCTGACACACAACTTCTGAAGATGAGCAATCAATATTAATAGTGACTTACAAGCCAAGTTAGGATACGAGTCAATTGAACATTAGAATGATTGTCGGTGTAACAGGAAAATAGGACTTGAGTAGGGGAAAAATTTTGGAACATACTAAAATGTTAAGATTTGTGATCTAACCTTAAACTGATTGTCCTGGATGAGTACTTAGAAAGGGTTAACATTAAAATCAATTATGAATATAATAATGCCAGTGATACAACTGTTCACAATGTGGCTTAAGCAGTGAGGATGTGCTAAGGCACTTTCCAATGTTAGAGACTCGATAAGAATGTGTTCTTACTTCAACAACCTCCAACTCCCACCTTCAATTTCCCCTCAAAATTCTCTAAGAGCTGATACAGTGGAGTTGATGGAAGAGATTCATTCACCCTAACTCTCCTGGTGGCAGAATGACTACCTGCAAAGGAAGAGAAATAGAGTGAGCTGTTCTTAACAGCGTTTGGGGTCTCAAATAGGATGGCCTTTATAGAAAGATTTCAAGTAGAAATGCCATTATATTAAGAAAATTCTCCCGTAAAGGAGACTTACACATTTTGTATAAAGTACACATAGTAACTGTGATCTATAAACTTGCTATCGGCAAGCAATAATCTCTATTGTCTGATTGATTCATGTAACACTACCCTGGGTTTTAGGTTATGTTGGTGTGGAGAGAACTAATTTCAAATCCTGACTCTTTAAGACCTTGGAAAAGTTGCCCAGCTAGGTCTCAGTTTCCTCATCAGTAAGACAGGAGTATCTCCTAACTCCCAGGGTTATTGTTGGGAGTCAGTGAAACTATCCAAACTGTCCAGCCCTCAGGAAATGTTTATGTCCTGTCCCCAAATCCAGTATCATTATCTCTAGTAACTCGAGTAGCCAAAAGCATGCTACAGTTATGGCAAGACTGTCAGTCACCATAAATATATATTAAACGCTCCAGAACAAACAAGAAGTAATCATACCAAAGACATGGATTCTTCTTTTAATAAAACTTAAACCTAACCAAGCAAAGAGACCCCAGAAATACTGGATAGACCACTTAAATCATTCCCATGGCGGGAGGTGGGATCAGCACACATAAAAGCAGCACTGGAGTGCACATCTCCATTCTGGGCTGTCCAGAAGGTGAAAGCATATGCCAAGTCTGGGAGAGATAAGGAAGACAGGGGGTAGATACGGAGGCCACCCTGTGCGTCGTGTCCTTGTGCCTGAACATGGAGAGAACAACGGCGGGTACATCAAGGGCTGCTAATAACCTTGAATTCTGGAGACTGAGGACAGACAGCTAAGACTTGGGACTTTCACAGTAAGTTCCTTGAGAGCCATGCCTGGATTTTGCTCTTCTACATGTGCCCCTTAGCACCTACAACAGCGCCTTCCTTGCAGAATTCATCATTGCACCTCTGTGCTGGTGGAAACACAATGGAAGAGTAGATGCTCTCCAAACAATTGGAAAGGCCAGGAACGGAGGGGAAGGTATTGCACCAAGGGCGGGTAACCCAGGTGGAGGGGTTAGACCCGGCGTTCACTTTTGTGATGGTGGGCTCGCGTCGCGGGCTGTCAATGCGCGCAGGTGACGAAAGGGGGCCTGGGGCGACCTTGGCTGCGGTGCCGGCTCGAGAGGGTGACGGCGCGGGGGCTGTGGGCTGCGGTGGGGGACGGCGCCCCGGAAGCAGTTACCTGTAGTAGCTCAGGAGCCCGTTGCTCAGCACGAACCACCGCCGCTGGTAGCCTTTGATATAATTGGTCCATTTGAAGAGCCAGCCCTCTCGAGCCGAGCCCGAACCCCCGGCGCCCGAGCCGCCGGAGCCCCCCGCCGGCGGCGCAGGGGCCGGGCCCGCAGCCGCCACTCCCCCGGCGCCGGGGCCCGGGCCGCCCGCCGCCGCCGCGGCCACCGTGCCAAGCGCGGCCCCGGAGCCTGGCCCCGAGTCTCCGCGGCCGCCGCCGCCTCCCACCACTGGGGGACCGGTGCCGCCGCCGCCCGGAGCTGCGATGGCCGCCGGGCCCGGCCCCACCACCCCTCTCAGCTCCGTCGCCGCCATGAGCCGCCGCCGCCCCGAGATACAGGACCGGAACCGCCTACGAGAGCCGCCGTCGCAGCCCGGAGCGCCCCACACGGCTAGCGCATCAGCCGCGGCCGCGCAGCGTCCCCGCCCCGCCAGGCCCGCCGCGGGAGGAGGGCTCGGC